GGTCCGGGTCCTGCTCCCCGTGCTGGGGAGCAGCGCTTCTCTCTGCTCCTGGCCTCGCACCTCCGCTGACATGCGGTGAGGAAGGTAGTTTGTGCTCCTCGTACTGAAGTTTCTGCAGGAGTTCTCGTTGTTCCCCAAGGCTCCCCTCCTCCTGGGAGGCTGTCAGTACTTGCAGGGTGCGCTTTCCCTCAGTGGATGCTCCAGCAGATTTAACTGCGCACACATACATTTGTATATATGTAAACTGTGTGTACATGTCGTACACTATATGTAGTTGATAGGACAAGAGGTAATGGCCTCAAGCTGTGCCAGGAGAGGTTTAGACTGGATATAAGGAAAAACTTATTCACTGAAAGGGTAATCAGGCATTGGAACAGGCTGGCCAGGGAAGGGGTCCATCCCTGGAAGTGTTCAAAAACTGTGTAGATGAGGTCCCCAGTGACATGGTTTAGTGGTGGACTTGGCAGTCCTGGCATAAAGGTTGGACTTGATGATCTTAAAGGTCTTTTCCAACCTAGCTGATTCTGTGATTCTGTGTGCATTTATATTTCTATAAATAAAATTGACGTGTACATGCATACCTTGTTAAATGTACCCATGGAAGTTAGGATCTAAGATCTGTGCCTTGCACACACAGATGATCTCACAGCATACCCGTAGGGCATACCAAGAGTATTGAACTGCATGTGGAATTGACCTTTTACAGATCCCTGCCATACACAGTCCTGGGGGAAGCTTTTTTAATATGGATATATACGTTAGACTTGTGTGTTATATATGGAATCATGGAATGGGTTGGAAGGGACCTTAAAGATCATCTAGTTCCAACCCTTCTGGCATGGGAAGGGACACCTTCCACTAGACCCATCCAACCTGGCCTTGAACACTGCCAGAGATGGGTCATCCACAGCTTCTCTGGGCAACCTGTGCCAGTGCCTCACCACCCTCACAGTGAAGATTTTTTTCCTAGTATCTAATCTTAGTCTCCCCTCTGTCAGTTTAAATCCATTCCCCCTTGTCCTATCCCCACATACCTTTGTAAAGAGTCCCTCTCCAGGTTTCTTGCAGACCTCCTCTAGGTATTGGAAGACTGTTATAAGATCTCCCCTGAGCCTTCTCCAGGCTGAACAAGCCCAACTCTCTCAGCCTGTCTTCATAGCAGAGGTGCTCCAGCCCTCTGATCATCTTTGTGGCCTGACGAGTTCCACATCCCTCTTATGTTGGAAGCCCCAATACTGCAGGTGAGGTCTCACAAGAGCAGAGCAGAGGGGCAGGATCACCTCCTTCGACCTGCTGGTCACGCTTCTTTTGATGCAGCCCAGGATATGGTTGGTTTCTGGGCTGCAAGTGCACGCTGCTGGCTCATGATGAGCTTCTCATGAACCATCAACCCAAGTCCTTCTCCTCAGGGCTGCTCTCAGTCCAGCCTCCATCCAGTCTGTAGTTGTGCTTCGGATTGCCCTGACCTGGGTGCAGCACCTTGCACTTGGTCCTTGCAGGACCTTACACTATAAAGATCATAAGACCTCTTACGATCGTTATAATTATAAGCTGTATTTGATAACAGCATATTGGCTTTTGCTTGATATGTATGTATGGAAAAATACAAACTGACTGAACATTAACATTGGTCTCTAGGTAGTCCATGATGAGTTAGAATGTGTCTGTATCAAATTGGTAGCACCTTTTTCATTACTTGTCTCTGTCTCTTTGCTGTGGGTTCTGTCTTGAGCTGTTACATGGCAGGATGTGTTGGGAGGGAGGACTGTTTGGAGACATCCCAGTCGGGGGAAGATCACTGCAGACCACACAGACTTTTGTATTTCATCTCACAGTCCTTCAGGTTACAGTATAAATATAGAAAGTCGTCATGGAAATATTTGAGGCATATACCACATTATTTACCTACTTAAATATCCCTTAGCTTCCTCTTCTTTTTCTGCTTTCCTTTTTCTGTTCAGTTTAGATTACATGTGCATGGTAGCGGACTCTTAGGTTGTTTGTGCAGCACTAAGTACAAAACCAGTAATGTTCTAGGGAATAGATTTGGTTTGGTTCCAGGTCTTATTTTCATGTGTTGCATACAAATTCTATGTTTAAAGCCAAAATTCTGGTATCCCTACTTTGCCAAAATACAGGTTATCTAGTCTTAGCTATACTGTTTAATGTATTTTGTTACAGACTTTATCTTTACTCAAGGAATTTGCATTGGATCACTGTTGTGGTTTAATCCCAGTGAGCAACTCAGACCCACACAGCCACTTACTTCTCCTTGGTGGGATGGGGGAGAGAATCAGAAGGGTGAAAGTGAGAAAACTCATGGGTTGAGATAAAGACAGTTTAATAGGTAAAGAAAAAGCTGTAAGTGCAAGCAAAGCACAACAAGGAATTCATTCAAGCGCTTCCCATGGGCAGCCAGGTGTTCAGCCATCCCCAGGAAAGCTGGGCTTCATCATGTGTAATGGTTACTTGGGATGAGAAGCACCATAACCCTGAACGTTCTCCCTTCCTCTTCGTTTCCCCTTGCTTTTATTGCTGAGCACAGTATTGTATGTGTGGGATATCTCTTTGGTCAGTTGGGGTCAGCTGTCCTGGCTGTGTTTTCTCCCAGCCTCTTGTGCACGCCCAGCCTGCTTACTGGTGGGGCAGCAGGAGAAGCAGGGAAGGTCTTAATGCTGTGTACGCACTGATCGCAACAGCTAACACATCCCTGTGATATCAACACTTTTTTGGTCACAAGTCCAGAACACAGCATATGAGCTGCTGTGGAGAAGATTATTCCTGCCAAAACTAATACAGCCATGTGTTAGCAGGTAGAGTCTTGTTCTCTTCAGCAGTGCAGTCCCCAAATGTTCACTAGACTGGGCACTCAAACTTCGACACTATCTTTATCGAATCAACAGGGTAGATAGGGTCTGTGTTTTTGAGGTGGGATTTGGCATGAATATTCCCAAACAAAAGGACTATCAGTTTGTCACAATAAGTTACATGTATCTCCCCAGGGGTTTGGCAATTGAAAAGACTTGGCTGTACTACAAAGATGGGCACATAAAAGGAAGTCCTGGCTGCAGTCCTTCGTTGCTAGTATGCTGGGAAGTGCTTGAAAAAGTAATACTCGGCCTGTCTTTAGCATGAGGAAAGAGTTGAATTACTCAGGTGCTTTGGATTACGTTGGTGGCTGGCTGATTAACTTAAATCAGAATGGTAAATGTTATTTTGTGTGTATAAGGAGGAGGAAAACCCACTTCTCTTGTGTACTAAGCTCTGGATGACTGAGGTCTGTATGTTACTGTGCTTTTAAATTGTGTCAAGATCAATACACATTAACTTATTTGTTGGGAAAATTTTAATGGCCTCCTATGGGTGGGCTATTTAGATGGGTCTAAAACATTTTGCTTTAGAAGATAAGGGGGGTAATTACAGGAAGAATAGAATAATGCATGTTGTCAAACAAGTAAACTCTCTCTTTAGTATTGACCTCACAGCAGATGCAACTACTAGTGATGCCAGTATCAATAGTGCAGACTCAAGGAAACAAGAAGATGACAGCAGCTTCTCACTGATAACCTGGAACATTGATGGGTTGGATCTGGGAAATCTAAAAGAACGAGCTAGAGGAATCTGTTCTTACCTGGCACTGTAAGTATAGCTTCATCTCTGTATTGTTGTGTTCCTAGCTTTAAAGGAAAAAGCAAGCTTCTTGTTTTAGATATTTACAAATCTTCATGCCCAGATCATCTTAACGTTAGATACAACAATACAATTGCTTTATAAATCCTAAATAGCTGAATAAACATTGACATACTGGTTGGAAGAGATGTGAGCCTATGCAGCATCCCAAAGGTTAAATATTTTGCGGTGACTGTTTTAAAAAGCCTTTTTTATAATAATCAACATTGTTCAAGTTGTAGTCATGTATCGAGAGCATATTTCATACTTCCATCCTGTACATGAGAAGCATAATACTGCAAGAAACTTGTCTCATTCCAGTAGTTTTAATAACATCATGCTAGAGCAGACTGAAACAACAAAAAAGATTTTTTTGTTGAAATTTGAAAAGTGGGTCTCTTGCTGTACCTGTTACTTGTCTAGTAAAAAAGAAAATGTGCAAGTTAAGATAAAAGCAGTAGAATCTGTGATTATCTTTGATAGTTCCACCAGTGGAAACCTTCTGTGGATATATTTATGAGCAGTTTAACAATTACATTAATGGATTTATCTTAACACAGTAACTTTATCAGTGTAAATTAAATGATTTAAGTAATAATTTAAGTTCCTGTTAAACCAGCAGAAACCCCTTAACTAAATAAATTTTCACTTGATTTTGTTAACCTGGGGTGGCGTATTTTTTTTCTGTAAGTAAGGCCATAGGGTTGTCCTTTACCTGCTCACAGTAGGGCTGTTAGCAGTATAGCAAGTATAGGGACAGCTGTAAAGTCATATCTAAATCAGTATTTTCAGGACTGCTGCCCCACACAAGCTGTTACTGATTGAAAAACTCGTAAGAAATAAAAGAGCTCATCATTGACAAGACTGGAGAAAATGCATGGCAAGTTACCTGAGGGGATCTGTTGTAAGGGACTGAGGTGACAGCTGGAATCTCCTGGAGAACTTAGATGTTGCAGAATATGTTCCAAAGCTACTTTGCAGATCCTTAAGTTGAATTCCTTTTGTATGCCATGTATGAAACCTGTGCAAATGTTTGCAAGATCAAGGCGTAAGGAAGTAGTGCATTTTATTACAACATCAGTTCCATGTCAGTAATATTTTTTCCTTCCCTTTTAACAGTGGTGATGTATCTACATGCTACTAAATAAGATGGAGAGAGTTTTTGGTTTTGTTTTTTTTTTTTAAAAACCAGATCCATAAAGTATCTAAGAAGAGGAGGACAAAGTGCACCTGAACCCCCTGACCCTGTTCCATTTGACCTCGGAGTGTAACAGTACTGCCTTTCAGTAGTTAATTTAAAATCTCATCTTGCCAATTTCAGATACAGTCCAGATGTTGTGTTTTTACAAGAGGTTGTCCCACCACACCTCTGTCTTCTGCAGATGAAAGCAGGCAATTACACTATTATTCCAGGTAAGAAATAACCCTCAGTTTCAGACAGAAACCAGAAAAATTAGTTCGGTTTTATTCTGTCTCCTTTGCTAAAATCTCTGACCATTTACAGGTATGAAAAAGAATAAGATCAAGAAAGAAGCACTTAAATTACTTTCTGTATTTTGTTATCGGGATATAATGCAAATCATGCATGTGAAAAACTTGCTTGCCTGTTGGTTTGGAATCATAGAATGGATTGGGTTGGAAGGGACCTTAAAGATCATCTAGTTCCAACCCCCTGCCATGGGCAGGGACACCTTCCACTGGACCAGGTTACTGAAAGGCCTGTCCAACCTGGCCTTGAACACTGCAGGGTTGAGGCAGCCACAGCTCTAGGCAACTTGTGCCAGTGTCTCACCACCTTCATAGTAAAGATTTTTTTACTAATGTCTGATCTAAATCTCCCCTCTATCAGTTTAAAGCCATTCCCCCTTGTCTTGTCATTACATGCCCTTGTAAAAAGTCTCTCTCCAGATTTCTTTTTATTTTTTCTGCATTTTGAAAGACTGATAGTAAGGGTAGCAAAAAAATGTTCCATAGATAAATAATTTGTTAAATACTTGATTTTACAAAGTCTGAAAAATTCACACCCCTCTTGTGAAACTTCTAACTAATGACTTCGTACATCTTAATAGGATTCTCCTGGATCATGGCAGAAGGGTGTCTTTCAGAACCTTCTTTATGGCACAACAGAAGATATACTCGACCATGTCTTTCCTTGTTCCTCTTTAGGTAACATAGATGGCTATTTCACTGTCATAATGTTGAAGAAATCAAGAGTGAAGCTACTGAAACATGACATAATACCTTTTCCAACAACCTCTATGATGAGGAACCTTTTGGTTGTGCATGTGAGTGAGACAGTATGTACTTAACAGCTGCATTTCTGCCTTCAAAAGAAAAAAAAATGCCAGGAAAGGCTGAACTGGCTTCACTCTATGACAGTCTGGAAGAGCAGAAAAAACTTCCCCAAACATACAAACTCAGCTGCATTTGATACTAACAAACTTAAATCTTTTATGTAAGTTACTGGTCATACTTTGTTTTCAAGTCTCATAACCTCTGAAGACAAAACTAAAAGTCTGTTCTCCTCCTGTAAGCCACTTTTCTTCAAGGTAAAATTAACATTAACCAGGGTTCTGTCATTAAGTAATTGACTTCAACATTAGACTTTTGTCTTTGAACTTTTCATCATGGTGTGGATAGTAACATTGCCTTTTCATTTTGCACACAGGTGAGCATATCTGGTAATGAACTTTGCCTTATGACCTCTCATCTGGAGAGCACTAAAAATCACTCCATGGAGCGTATGAAGCAACTACAAATAGTGTTTAAAGAAATGCAGAAGGAGTCTGAGTCCACCACTGTTATATTTGGAGGGGATACAAACCTTAGAGACAGTGAGGTAAATAGAAATAAGCAATGTTGTTATTTTGAGAAGGTATTCTGACAAAATCTTCTCAGGCTTTGCTGTTGTCTTCATGAGAAATGACCTCTGGCAACAGAGATAAGAGACATTTATTCTTAAAAAGTGGAAGCATGAGTAAGTAGAAGCTGTGGCATTGCTATGCTGAGTTGAGGTAGTTGAGGGGATATACATGAGGAGCCCCAATAACAAAATGCTTTATTAGCAATATTTATATCTGAGAAGATGCAGGGATAGTTGATGAAGTTTCGACTTCAGAATCATCTATCCTGCCCCTCTACTCTGCTCTCGTGAGACCTCACTTGGAGTATTGTGTACAGTTCTGGTGTCCTCAACATAAAAATGACATGGAGCTGTTGGAGCAAGTCCAGAGGAGGGCCACAAGGATGATAAGGGGGCTGGAGCAACTCACGTGTGAAGACAGGCTGAGAAAGTTGGGGCTGTTCAGCCTGGAGAAGAGAAGGCTGCGTGGAGACCTCATAGCAGCCTTCCAGTATCTGAAGGGGGCCTACAAGGATGCTGGGGAGGGACTCTTCATTAGGGACTGTAGTGGTAGGACAAGGGGTAACGGGTTTAAACTTAAACAGGGGGAGTTTAGGTTAGATATAAGGAAGAAGTTCTTCACAGTGAGGGTGGTGAGGCGCTGGAATAGGTTGTCCCAGGAAGTTGTGAATACTCCAACCCTGTCAGTGTTCAAGGCCAGGTTGGACAGAGCCTTGGGCGACATAGTTTAGTGTGTGGTGTCCCTGCTCATGGCAGGGGGGGTGGAACTAGATGATCTTAAGGTCTTTTCCAACCCAAACCCTTCTATGATTCTATGTTGAGAACCTGATCTTTACTTGCTCAACTCTCCAATTCTCAGAAGGTTAATGCTTGTAGAGTCAATGAAAGAAGATGGGGCTCTGGAGAAATAGATCTCTGGAGTTCAGAATTAATCCCCCATCATCAAGACATGCAAAATCAGAAGTCTGTTTTGGCTGCTGATATTAAAAGTAAAATTTGTGCATTATTACTAAAAGGTCAGTGTTTCATCTTTCCCTGTCATAAAATTCCATTGCAGTGAACTGGAATGACATTGAGTCAGAGAACATGGTGTTGAACCCCGTATCTCAAAATTTTAGAGGTATTTTTTTAATGTGTATTTTGTAACATGTTTTGGATTTAGAAAGTCCTACAGGAATTGGTCGTGCTTTAGAGTATCCTGAGAAATACCACAATTTAGAAACATCTCCACTCTTTTCGTTTGCCACAACTTATGTTTTGCAGGAAAAGTGATGCTGTGACAACTCAGGTCTGTTTTTGAAGACATAATTTGTGAAATCAGTATCTTGTGTATTTCACCCCCTGCCTTCTACTTTCAGGTTGCTAAACTAGGGAACTTGCCTAACAACATTATGGATATCTGGGAGTTTTTGGGTAAACCTCAGCACTGCCGCTATACTTGGGACACCCACTCCAACACCAACCTGCACGCAGCGTACAAGTGCAAGATGAGGTTTGACCGCATCTACTTTCGGCCTGCAGCGGGAGGGGGACATATTATTCCACGCAGCATGGACTTAATTGGATTGGAAAAACTAGACTGTGGCAGATTCCCTAGTGATCACTGGGGTGTTCTGTGTAATTTTGATGTGATACTGTGAAAAAGAAAGAGGCTGGCATTGTTAGTTTTTAGGTGATTTGTTCTTGGGTTTACAAAATTTTACCATCTCAGTTTAAGTCGGGCATATTTAAATTTTCAACCCTAATGCATTCTCTGCTGTTGACTTCTGCTGGAACGGCTTCATTTCAAACCAGGGCTTCCTTTTCCTTGCTGTATGCATCTGTTCTCAAATCACGTTTTTAAATATTTATTTTTAATAATGTATGCAAATAAAAAACCGAATTCCAATTCTAAAATGGGAGGAAAAACCTGTAAACACCATTCATTAACATACTCGGTGGTTTAAAAGCCACTTTTATTTGGCATGTATTATAATCTCATAATAAACGCTGCTTTTCCTTATCTTTTTAAGAATACTTTTATTGTGTTTGTGTTGTTTCTTTTATAATCATTTCCATTGTCCTTTACAACCCTGTCTTGTGTAGGGTGCTTTGTATTAGCTTCTGAAGTTTGCGGTGTACATAGAACATTGCCCTTCCGTCAACACAGTAAAGTAGCCAAGGAAAGTATGACTAGATTTTCACAGAATAAGGTTTCTTAAGTAGGAATTAAACTAATATTGAACAGATTTAAGAACAATATAGGCAAAGTGGAAATTGCGCCCTTGGGATGGTATATACCTTACTTTTTATTAACCATTTATTAACCTGGGTATGAGTTGCAGATTAAAAAGCATTATCTTTCCAGAGAGCTTTTAGAAACAATGCTCTAGCAAACTGCTGTGTAAAGCTGAAAACCTGAGCAGCTCTAGGTCTCGCTGACTCTACACAGTTCTTTGAGTAAGAAAGTCTGTTTGATCTTTTGTAATCAGTCTCATAGACGCTGTCATTTTACAGATGTGCGAAGTACTAAGCTGATTTAGAAAGGTCTTTCTGTTGTGAAATTAATTGCAGTCATGGTGAGGAAGCACGGACAACTCAAGTCAATGATGCAGAGTGAACAGAGGCTGACCAGCCTAAATTACTTGTTGTTTGTCTTAAGCCCAGAGTTTACAAACAACTTTTTATTGTTGAACTTCTGTGGCAGGTTGGGCCCCAGCTGGTAGCCATGCTTCCACCCAGCTGCTGGTTCAGTATCCCTTTTACTGATGGTGAGATGGGAGGAGGAAATGGGAAAAACAGAAACAAGAAAGCTCATGGGCTGAGGTACAGACTGGGGAGATCACTTACCCTCATGGGCAAATCAGACTTGATTTTGGGAAATTAATTTATGGCCAAGTAATACATATATATATATATATATATGTTTAATTACCGATTCAGGTATTGGGAAGCAAGAAAATGAACATTAAAATACTGGGGGGGAAACACCTTTCCTCTACTCTTTTCCAGGCTCGATGTCACTCCGGGCTCCTCTCCTCCCCCTTCTTACTGCCACAGGTCGTTCTCTGTCCCTTCAGCAAAGTAAGGATTGGCAAGAGAGAAGGGTATGCTGGTTGGTGCACACAAATGTGCCTCTTGACTGTGCCCTGCCTTTCCCCTTTGCTCTGCTCTGGGGTGGGTCCTCCGCAGGCTCAGGCAGTATGTGCTCTGCCATGGAGGACCTCCTCCAACCTTGGTGTTCCCTCCTCCTCTGCCTGCCTAGCATTTTCTGCCCTGTCTTACATACGCTTTCTCTGAGGAGGCACCACCTTGACTGTGGGGCTCAGCTGTACCCTGTGGTGGGTCCACGTAAGCTGGCTGGAACTGTGTGTCTGCATCTGACCATCCTGCAGCCCCTCCTGACAGTGTCTGGGCACCTGCACCTATTGTAACTGAGAAATAAAAGCAAGCTGCTCACATAGGCAAACAGCAGAGGCAACCCCCTACAGCCCTACCTGCCCAGCAAAGAAAACTCCACTGATGCCCTTATTACTTTGCCTAACATGTCTGCCTTCATGCTCCAACCAGCTAAGAGCTGGGGAAGGAGGAATGTGTCCCGATGTTGCCCTTCCCACGTCTGTCTTGCACCCTGCAAACACAGCAAGTGGAGTTCAGTGCAATACATGGCAGCAGAAGACATGTTTATGGGTCCCTATCTTGAGAATAGAATAGAATTAGACTGGAATTAGACTAGAATTAGAAAAGAATAGAATAGACCATTTCAGTTGGAAGGTACCTACAACAATCACCTAGTCCAACTGACTGAGCGATTTAGGGGCAATCAAGTGCTAAAGCATGTTATTAAGGGCATTGTCCAAGTGCCTTAAACACTGGCAGGCGTGGGGCATCAACCACCTCTCTAGGAAGCAGGTTCTAGTGTTTGACCACCATCTCAGTGAAGAAATGCTTTCAAAAGTCCAGCCTAAACCTCCCCGCAATAGGATTCTGAATAGCCAGGATTCTGAACCAGCTCCTCCTTGTCCCAGGAATGGGGAGGCCTGTGGTAGGTGTGGTTTTCTGTTGATTCAACAGAAGGGCTGGGTGACCTTACTAAGCAAGCAAATAAACCTCAGGATGTTAATTCATCTCCACCAAAATCAGCTGGAGAGATCTCCAGTTCTGCTTTTGCTTCTTTAAACATCAAACACCAAATTCCTTTTGCTAAAGGTGAAAGAGGCTGGCCTGTTTTGGGGAGGATGTCCTGATTACTCTCAACATATCCCATTATTCTAGAATAATACAGCTTCAAAAACAAGGAGAGAGAAGTCACTGGTACTTTTTTTATTCATGTTGAGCATGTGATCTCTGTTTTTCTATTCCCAAATAAATAGTTCTATAAAAAAGTGAAAAATCTCTACAATGGCCAGGATTTTACTTCCAGGTTTAAAATGGGGCTGGCGCAGTCACTGCTTTTGACCTGCTGCGTGCTCCCTTCTTCCTCACCAAGAGCCTTCAAAGAAATATGAGGTTTGTTTTAACCACTTACATCTCCTACCCCTCCCTGGTAATTACAGCCAAAGGAGTTGTGGAGAAGGTGAAGGCAGGGCAATACGGTTTAACTTTCCTAAAAGCGTTGGAGGAGGGGAAAGCACAACAAACTCACAAGGCTGCTTTTGTTTATGTGGCTGCACCTTCTGGACTATTTTGGAATATATTAAAAAGACTGATTGCTGTTGTTCTTGAATAGGTTTTTAATTTGGGGAAGAAAGAACATAAAAAAGATTCAGAGCAGTGTGTGATTTATTTAGGTGGGTGCCTGAACTCCAGACCCCTCTCTAGCACTGACTTACTGATTGGCAGTTTTTCTTAATCTGGGAAATAGATAGTGAGTGGGTACATAATTTTTTTATTAGGAACAAGCAAAGACTTAGCAGTTTGTAAGGGCCAATTAATTTTTCTAATTACAAAAGGCCAGATGAAGACTATATTCAATGCAATTAGTGGTTAGTCATTCTTTCAGAATGAGGAGATCGCGTATACAGCCTTTAAAACTCTTCTTGAACTACAGAGAAAGTGATAATGTTAAATAAATTAAAGAAGATGTAAATGCTAAATGTTTTACTGACTATTGGATGTGAAGCAATACATCCTTAATTAATTACACTTTAAACCACTTAATAAGCATCCAAATTGCTGACAAGAGCAGTCAGAGCTCTAAAATGAATTTGCATCTTAATTTAATCAGTGATGTAAAAGGTAAAATGTCTGATGAATAGAGCAACTGAAACTTAAAGTTATAGAAACAACAAAGTTACACCTAGTGAAAGATTTCTTGGCCTAGAGGAACTGTAATTTGATTTGTTTTACTGATTCAGTAACATAAAATTATGGCATCTCTACATTCCAAAGGACTTATACACACATATGAGTGTGAGAAAATGCAATAATTGTTTCCTATTAATAATCAACGGCAACAACGGGCCCTGTGAAAATCAGGCACTATCAGAGGCATTATTTTATTAATACCTTGACTCAGGTATCAAGAGAAGCAATTTCTTCTGAGGATCCAGCCAGTCTTAAACATTTCTACATCAAAAGAGCTTGAACTTACTAGAAGAGTAGAGATACACATACAACAAAAATTATAAACATATAGGGATGCAAATAATAAAGAGATGGATTTAAAGAATGAAAAAAATTAGCAACAGGCAAGACCACAGTAACAGCAGATAACTATGTTATCATGAGTGAAAGTGTATACCTAAAGAATGTGTATGCTGTTGGTTGTAGGGAGTAATCTGAAACTGAAACTAACAAAAATGTGTTTTACAAAAGGGAAGTGCATAGAAGATTAAAGCTATAAAGATCACACATCATGTACAGACTTAGAAGTCAGTTTGATACAAGAACAGACAAGACATGTCCAAAATTAATCAAAATACAAACATGATAACCTGTATTTTGGCAACACTTACAAAGCCTATCATTATGTACAAAACGGAAATTGAGAGCAGTTACGCAGAGGCAGATGGGCTGTGTTTTGGTGGGCAAGTGGCATGATTTTCAGTTGCATCAGCTCAGCACGGTTGCAAAACTCTACAAAGGTGGTGTTATCACTTCTGCACATCTTGATGTGCTTTTACTCAGTGACAGCCAACCCAGTACGAAATCCTGCTGAAGATACAGTGCCTGTGAGTGCTGTCTTGAAATACCCGGCACAGGTAAACCCCACGCAGGGGTTACAAGGGGCCACTTGGTGGTGATGGTGATGGGGAATTGGTGGTGATGGGGGGGCTGCTTGTCAGGTATCCAGAGCACCACTGGCTGTGTGACAGTGAGCTAGCTGTCCTGGCTGATGACAGCTTCGCAGGGCTGGTTTCTGACCAACTGAATGCACGTACTGCAGAAAACAGCCGGAGGTAACCAAATCAGTATTTACCTAGTGACCACATTTGGAAGCTTTAGTGATCTTTAGATAGCTTATTACATCACACTCAGCCTATTATTTCATTGATGTTAAGCCTATCAGTTAATCAGTGTTATGAAAGGCAAGAATTGGCTCAGCAAGAAAATACCATTTAAGCCTCAACCATCTGCAGTAATCCTGTTTTCTTGGTCTGCTCCTCCATTTCATAGTGTTTTGCAGGCAGAGTAGGGAATAGGTACTGCTGCTAGGTTTCTGGAGGGGGAGCTGTTCGCTGGCACCTTTGTGTTTGCATGGGACTAGCCGCATCCTGGTTGTTCAATGGAGAAGGAAGTCCCTGTTCAAGAAAGTCCAGGGCACTGGACCAGCTATGTCCATGCAGAGAATGCAAACAGAGACAGTTGCTGCTTTCATCCTTTCCCCCTGCTTTCACTGAGATGGTGACAGGACGAGAAAAGGGCTTATCTCCCTAAGCCTGCACTGCACTGAGGAGCCTTTTGCATACTTGCACAGATGGTTCAAAAAGCACTAGCATTAAGTATACAAGTGCATAATCTTTCCTGCAGAAGAAATAATAACAATTAAAAAGTGAAGCTGTATCTGGTGCTTTTA